ATTTATATGTAAATAGATTTAGTTTTTGTCTTGTAGTTCATTTAAAATAATGAAGTCAAACTGTCTACTTCATTGAAGTTTCTCACAGAAAAATCTCCTTTGTGTTCAGATTTAAAAAACATTGATACTGAAGAACAGACCTATGGAAAAGATTTAGATTTTTAAGCTGACTCATCATTTTTTTTCACTGGGGTGTGTAGAAAGCTATGAAGTGTAAACAGAATATTGTGAGGCACCTTTAAAAGTGTAAAATTTAAATCCAGAGGATGTGTGGCATACCTGGGGTTGTTAGAATAGAATTCTTTAAAAGGTGGATCTTGGGAAAAACTAAAGTAAAAAACAACAATTGTCTTATCTACAGTTTGATTAACAGATACAAAGCTTTAATGAAAAACATTATACATCTCATGAGACAACATTTGTGACCACATTTTAAAATAAATTGAAATAGTATGGCATCTGAGACTGGTGTCACTTAGACTAGGGTATTGTAACTCAATTCCATGCTGTTTAGCATCTAATTTACATGAACTTTTACAATGTAGTGTGAAGAAAAAAATAACAGTCTAAGATGCCTAAGATATGTAAGTCTGTAGATGTGAATGAACATATTTATTATCTAGGGTTTTTAAGGAGACAATGGCAATACACAAGTTTAGTGGAAGAAAACAATCAAACTACAAAAAAATTAACATAAAACACCATAATTGCAAAATCCAGGATTAATTAATTTACAAGGTCAAAGCAATGGCTTCAGATGTTTTCCAAAAATATTATTTATAGGCCCTTCTCTGCCCACACACAGTCTGCAGATTAAATGAAACTAAATGCTTCAGATGGAACGCATTTCACAGTACTGCTAGAAATAAGCATTGCATTGTCTTAATAATTTAACATACAATATCTATGAGCAAAGGAACTTTGGAAAAGTTTATGTAGTGCTCAGATTTATGCTATCTTGTAACAAAATACAGTGAAGATAACAGGCTTGTACATAGATTAGACTATATTTTAATACAGTATTGTACATTTTCAATAAAAAGTCAACTATTATAAATTTTATTATATAAATATTATGATCTGTGTCCATTATCACACATAGTTGTATTAATTACAAAAAACTTATCTGAGGGTTTTTCTGCATTTAATTAACTTTTATTTTACAATATGTTGATCTACGCCCTGTTGTATAACATGAGGTAAAAAAATACAATGCATTAAACAATAGTAAAACAACATGAACAAGAACCATTTTTTCAATAAAATTAATGTAATTTTTTTATTAGAGGAGATTTAATTTAATATGTAACTGTATTAAATCTTCAAAAAATAAAAATCCTTATTTTGACATCACTAAACTGTTTTGTTTTAAAAAACTATAAAATAATTAACAGTGAAAGAGCTTTGATAATGCATTGTGAATTAATTTACATCATTACAATATCTCAGTTTTCAAGCACTTCAGTTCACTTAGTAATTAAAGATGATGAAGAGCATAATGTGACTTTTTAATTGTATTAAAGCATATCTTGTGATTTGTATGTATAACAGAAGTTTAATTTACAGTGTCCTTCATAGTCAATATCATTTTCAGCTTATTCTTTATTAAAAGCTCCCTTGATGTTTGTTTGTTTTGTTTTTTCGTAATTTTGAACCAAAATATCCACTTTATGAATCTTTCTCTCAGCTGTTCATAGCCCTCTCAGATGTGTAATGAATGCCTGTCATGAGTGCGATGATACTTGGCCTTTAAACAAACCTTATGGAAAATACAGTCATTTAGAAAGAAAAAAAAATCTGATTAATTTCCATAAACCTATAAATTATGTATACATTTCTGTATTACGATTGGTCCTTGTGGAGAGAGTACTTCAGTGATTCATTTCAAATGCCACTTATGCTAAGCTTTATTTTTTTGGCTATGTGTAGTTATTCCGTTGTTGTTGTTGTTGTTGTTGTTGTTGTTGTTGTTGTTGTTGTTGTTGTTGTTGTTGTTGTTTTTGCTGTGATTTGAATGATTTATTTCTACAGTAACTAATGGGTTATAGATTCATCCATCCATTTTCTATCCGCTTCTATCGCTGTAAGAACCAGGCAAAACGGTCAGGGGGGTAACCCTAGCCTGAATGCCAGCCCATCACTGTGCAGACAAAGACACAGAGATCAACACATTCATACCAGGGCCAATTTTCCCAGACGCTAATTAACATACCAGTATGTCTTTTGACCGTGGGAGGAAACCAGAGCACCCAGAGGGAACCCAAGTGAACACTTGGAAAATATACAGACTCTGTGCAGATATCAAATTAATTTTGTCAAGCTCAAAACAGGAAACAAATTCTAATACACCATATTGATTTTAGCTGGTATGCACCTCATGTGTCAGGGCTAAAAAACTCTCTTGTTTGCACATGAGGAACTGAATTAACAAAGAAACACTTGTATGTATGTGTGTACATGTATCTCACATTTGCATTTAAATAGAAATTGTATTAAAAAAAAATTGAAATGGGGTAGCATGGTAGTTAGCATTGCTTCTGGTAGCTCTGGGGCAGTTGGTTCAATTCAAGACCCAGGGTGCTGTTCCAGACCTGGTGTTTGCGTGTTTTCCTTGTGTTCATGTAGGTTTTCTCTGGTTGCTCCAGTTTCCTCCTACAGTTCAAAGATATACAAGTAGGTAAATTGGCTTCTGAAAAAATGAGCTCTGGTGTGAGTATGTGCATGTCTGTGTGCTGGGACCTCGCCTTGTGTGTGTTGCTGGCAGAGATCTGCTCTGACTCCACCATGACACTGAAGTGGATGAAGCCATTAGAAAATGGATGGATCTATTACCCATTAGTTACTGTAAAAATAAATTATTCAAATCTCAGCATTGAAATTGATAAAAGTAACATTAATACACAAGAAAATTAAATAAATCAAGAATGCAAAAGCAATAGACATACAAAAGCTCTTGTCTCTCATGTTCTACCACACAGTGCCACTAACTGCAATTTCAATTTTACCTAGTAACATCCATGTGCACTCTGTTCTACCCTGCCTCACTCTTCCCAAAATAAAAGAGAAGTATGACTTATAAACCTCTAGAAATCTGTTTTGATAAAAATCCCTCCCACCACAACTAAAATAGATATTAGGCAACTATTTTAATAATAATAAGAATAGTGTTTTAGTAATTTAACGGTTATTTGCTATATGCAAACATTTCCAAAATTGCTATTTCCAAAAATAGCAGAAGGTGGTGCACTCACAACCTATTCACACAACAGCTTTTTCATTTCCTATGACAGACAGGGATGTGAACTGGATCAAGGTAACAAACAGTTCATAAACAAATATAACAATCTGCAACATATGGAATGTTATCAGGAAACTCCAAAATATTTTACAATTGCTGTTTTACATACAATACTCAAACATTGGCAAATAAAGCATCTCAAATTATCATAAATTCTCTCCTTTTCAATATGGACAGTTTTTCTTTTGTAGGCATATTATTTATATATTTAATGAGGATACAATCTTTAAAAGCTTACTTGCACAGTTCAAATAATAAAAAAAAAGTTTTTGTTTGCTTTTTTTCACCCAAGAGAACTGGGCTGTTGATATTTAACCATGTCTATTCTGCTGTTGTTTTATTTCAATATACAGTACTTTTATGTACTGTATTTTGGAATAATGATTAATCTTAATACATTTCACCGTAACATACCAAAATAAATCATCACAGATGGCCCAATAACTCATACAGTATATTGTTTCTTTCATGTATTTTTCATGTTTTAATGAAAATAATTTTATTTTATTTTTGTAAATCAACCTGATTATTTTGATTGGTAAATCGCTGTTGTAGTGCTTGCCTTACAAGCAAGGAAACAAAAATTTCAGTGAGACAGGGTTAGTTTGAAAGTAGTGCCACCTGAAAAGTCTAGTAATTAGTTTTTTTCTTTTTCTCATAAACATATGGTGAAATTTTGTGGGTACAAGAGGATTCAATTGGGATTTTGAAGGTTTCGTGTAAACGTGTTCAGCATTAAAGAGATTTTACGTTTATGCAGAAACACTAATACATATGATATAATAAATCTTGCTCTAAAAGAAAAACTTTTATATAGAAGTCTATAAACTAAAATAATGTTTATAGGGAAAATATTAAATCTAAAACTAGAAATAATAATAATTGTCTGATCCAAAAAATATTATTATCATAAATTGTGACAACCACACTGGCTAACTAAACAGTTACAGTCATACTCTTATTAACACCTTTGACCTTCAACAGTGATATTCACTAAGCATGCATACTTACTAAGCAGAGTAAGTGTATTTTAACATCCCTAAAACAGTACTTGGGTGCCAAATCAAGTCAAGAATATAATGCTATGTGTGTGAGTGCTGACAAAATACACAGAAAAGTTAGTAATAGTATTGCAAATAATTTACAATATAAACCCTTTATACATGTGCCGGATGTACATGTTTTATTGCCTAATATCCATGCAGAACTACATGGTTTTCATATACAGATAGAAAATATTAAAGATAATTTATATTTATTCTTTGGCTGCTGTTGGTATTTGTAAAACACTCTTTGTTTTGGTTGTAATCAATTGCCATCAATTGTTAAATAAAACAAAACAATATACAATATAAAGTATATACAATATACAGCTATACTACCTAGGACTAAAATGTAATCACATGGTGGCATGTCTTTTACTTACAGATTTCATAGTCAGTGATTCACAGAGGTTTATTAATTTCCAGATTTTTTTTTAAATAAAACCTGCCAGCACATATTTTACTTGCACTGCAATTTATGATTGAATCTAAGCATCTCAGCTGTTTTTATTTGTGTTTTTTCATTTATTATTCTATATAATATTTTACCTTTTTTAATTAAACTTCTTTATGCATAAATCTTGATATTGTGTTGAAAAAGCTATTTGACCTTATTGGACCTCATTAACTCCTGATTTAACTTTGTTTGCTCTTTTCAGGAAGAACAAAAAGGGAGTAAAATGCCAGCTTTGGTGCTACACCTTTGTAAGATTCAGGCAATACAGAGCTGCATTCCTCACTAGAGTTTCTGCAAAGGACTTGAAGAGTTTGAGGACTTGGATAAAATGGTATTCAATCACTCCCTGCTGCTTCTTCTCCTGCTCTCCTTTCATCATCAGAGTTATATGATGGTTCTGTCACAAAGGAATAATGATGAGACACTACATAAGCTAACTGGTGCTTCAGACAAAGATGGGAAGATACTGCAGCGCTCCAAACGTGGTTGGATGTGGAATCATTTCTTCCTTCTTGAAGAGTATACTGGAACAGAATATCAGTATGTTGGAAAGGTAAAGTGTGTTATTTTTTCTGGTCTTTGTTGTAATATTGTTTTTAATTTGGATACACTACTCTGGAATGATGTTCTGTCACTCTTCTTGTGCAGTCATCTGGGGAAGGTTGATGATTGCAACCTGGATGGATGGGAGACCTCCTGGGAAAAACTAAGGTTGCTGCTGGAAGAGGTGTTAGTGGGGCCAGCGGGGGGTGCTCACCCTGTGGTCCATGTGGGTCCTAATGCCCCAGTATGGTGGCGGGGACACTATACTGTAAACGGGCGCCGTCCTTCGGATGAGATGTAAAACCGAAGTCCTGACTCTCTGTGGTCATTAAAAATCCCAGGGCGTTTCTCGAAAAGAGTAGGGGTGTAACCCTGGCGTCCTGGCCACATTTCCCATTGGCCATTACCAATCATGGCCTCCTAATAATCCCCATCTATAAATTGGCTTCATTACTCTGCTCTCCTCCCCACTAATAGCTGATGTGTGGTGAGCGTTCTGGCGCACTATGGCTGCCGTTGCGTCATCCAGGTGGGGCTGCACATTGGTTGTGGTGGAGGGGAGTCCCCATTACCTGTAAAGCGCTTTGAGTGGAGTGTCCAGAAAAGCGCTATATAAGTGTTAGCAATTATTATTATTATTATTATTATTATTATTATTATTATTATTATTATTATTATTATTATTATTATAAGTTTGGCCGGTCATAATTGTCTCCTATTGACTGATTTTGGAAAGTTGGTCCAACAGATGTTACATTTGGCTGAAAAGGAGAAAAGGCTGGCCACAGAAAGATCTCTTTTCTTGAAGTCAATCTAGTGTAATCCTGGAACTTGTCATGCTGGAACATTGACTTCCAGAATGACTTGAATGATTAAAAAAAGTGTGGTCTCTATAATTTTATCTAAATATCGCTGAGCAGTAAAGCTGCCATCAGTCTGCATCAAAGGTGTACTTGTGTTAAAGACAATTTCCTTCTCATATTGTAATACTTTCATCATTTCGCCTGCTGGCTTGAACAATGCAACAGTCAGCATTATACTCACCACATCTCCATACAGTCTTTTGACTTCATCCATAAATCACCTTCCTGTGAATAATACATGATAAGAAAATGGGATGATCTATATAATATCCTGTTTATAAACAAGTCTACCATCTAAAGACCTTATATTTACCTTCTATACTCTTTAGTGTGTAAACACTACACTGATTTTTTTCAGTCTTTTTTTCAGCATTCATTGTTTCAATTGTATAGAATATAGTCATCCCGGTAAACATTACATTTTACTTATCAAAATAGAATGTTAATACATGGCCATTATTTTTTTTCTTTATCCATTCAGGTCATTCAAAGTTATAGCATACCCATGTTAACATCCTCTGTAGTGTCTAGTGAAGGAAGATACAAGATGTGAAGAAAGGGTTAACTGTGTCATTTCTGCATAAGGACTGGACTTCTAAGTAACAGGCTAGAGTTATGGCAGGAAAGGGGAATGACTGATAAGGATTCCAGATGCCAGCTAGGAAACCCCCCAGGGAAGGAAACCTAACACTGACCATTAAGAGTGACCAAAGTCTGTGAACTGGCCGAACACCATGACCTCCCCCCATTACCATAGTAATGAGAGACGTTAGAAGCGGCAGAAAAGGGCTATATAAACTGGAAGTTTTGTATCGGTACTTTAAACAATACTTCGGTTTTATTGTTCCTTGCATGCTATAAAACTCATCTGTTTAACTTCATCTCGGCATCCAGAACTAATTTGTCTGTTCCAAATACTTTTGGCATCACGAGCAGGATTCTCAGATAAAATACAAGACAAAAAATAAACAATGTTGAGGGTTGTGTTACCAAAGCACACACATATACAGTATTTAGGCTGCAACATAATTAAATTAATAAAGTAATATAATACCCTCAGAAAAGCAATTGTAAGGGTATGCTTTGTTTTCCAATGTGATATTTATCTAAAACTATGTTCAAACCTAAGCTATATTACACGTTACACAAAAACACAGGTTTTGTTTGTCCCTTCAATTGCCTTGAAATATGATGCAATTCTTCTTGTCTTAAATTTACTTCGGTAAGACTGTAGCCCTGTAATTGTGATTTCTGGTGTGTAAAAGAAAGAGCATCTCAATATAAATAACCAAAATCAAATCGAGTCAGTACAACTGTTAAGATTTTGATTATGATAATATTTAAATGAGTTTATCTTTGCTCTGTGTTCACATACAATAACAACTGTATGTTTATATTTGCATTGAGATATGGCAAACAAACTTTTCGTCGGTGCAAACAGGGCAAATATTTATTCTTTAATTTTAATTCTTTTATTTTTAATGACTTTGTTCAACTGAAAGGCTGTGGGGAGAAAATTACTATGTCCATGACTGAGACTTTTATGATAACCCTAATGCATTTTTTATAAGGAAAAAAAATCACAAAAGCAAGAGAAAGCTGAGATCTCACATAAGTAGTGAGAAAAAGTGCCAGCGGGGAAAATGCCCTCTTATTAAGCTGCTGTGCTATTAATCTGAAGCATGAAAAGGAATCACATTATAAATGACAGTGTGAGTTAAAATAATGCATATCAGCATAGATGAATTGCAAATGTTGCATTATGGCCATGAGAATTACAATTTGTGAAGTCTGAAAGTACTGACTTCAGTGAATTGTTTTTATGCCAAGTAATCATGATGAAACATATTCATTATGAATAAACAAAGCTTTCTTAAGAAGTGTTTTCAACGTTTAAGACATTGGGGAAAATAAGGCAAATAAAAAAAATTGTTAGAACTTAAAATTATTAAATGCTGAAGTGACAAAAGGCTGAATACTGTAAATATTTGTTTGAAATGTCATAGAAATTGATACTCAATGTATATCTTGAACTACATATTGACATAAAAAGTGAACAAATAAAAGTTCGAATATTGATGTCGCTCAATAAAATATTTTACTCTTTTTTAAATTTTAATTGGGGGATAATAAAAATGTTTTGCCATTCTTTGACAGGAAACACCATATACAAATTAAACTGCTGTTGTTGCTTAAGAATAAAAACACTGGTCAATGCAAATGCACATAAAATGACCAACCTGGTCAAAAACCACCTGTTTGCAACTATAATTCCTTGTAAGGTATTACATAATTCCATTTTCTTGCATTATTCATGTGAGTTTATTTAAAGAACTATATGTTTCTATACACTAGAATACACTTTACATTTATTTCAGAATAAACATTTCTTTCTCAGTAAGGTCACTCACTCAAGAAAGTGAATTCCAAGGTTCAACCATGAAGACAAGGGCTTTTCAAAATAACTCAATATTAGAGTTTAGAAATGTGTGGAAAGGAGAATGATAAAAATAAAATCAGACACCCTTCAAACACCCTTGAATATCCCTTCAAACACAGTGTTGTAAATAATTAAGAAGTGGAAGGAGAATTGTACTACCCAGCCACTGCCAAAATCAGGTTATCCATTCAAATAGCGTAGTAGGGCATGGAGGAAACTAGTAAGGGTTGCCATTGTGAAGCCAATGATGACTTCAGAAAAACAACTATACAGTTAATTGACTGAGATGGGTGAAAATGCCCGTGAGTCAACAATACCCTGGTCTTTTCACAAACCTAGCATGAATGGCAGAATAACACACCAACTGAGATTCTTCATGGAGTTGGCAGCAAAATATATGTGATACTGAAAATATGTGGCGGAAGACCAACAATTATGGAGCTTTTAGGTCTAAATGAAAAGCATTATATCAGGAGCAAAACCCAACACAGCCCATCAATTCAATCCCTAATGTCAGGGTAGCAGCATTATATTATGGGGCTGGTTCTCATTCCATAGGCAGACTGAGCAGAAAATAATGGAACAAAGTACAGGCATATCTTAGAGGAAAACCTATTTAAGTCTGCTTAAGACCAAAAACTGGATGAAAATTAATCTTTGAGTACATTAATGAAATAAAGCTACACTGGAGTGGCATAACAAGCTGAAATGCAGTATTCTTGAGTGAAACATTCAAAGTCTTGACTTGAATCCACTAGACTTCTGAAGCAAGACTAGAAAGGTTCTGTTCATTATTGACCTGCAAGCATTCTGACAGATCTTGAGCCAGTTTGAAAAGAAGAACAGGTGAAAATTGCACCATCCTTGTGTGCAATGCTAGTTGAGACATATCCAAAAAGACATGCAGCTCTAATTACTGCCACCAAGGATACTTTTGCGATCAACACATTTTAGTTCTTGATATTTTTTGTAATTTTTGTTGACATTTAACTTCCTTTAGAAATAAAAAAAAATATTTGGACTGAGCATTCAGGTTTGATTAAATATATTCACTTCAAAAATGCCTATAATGTATGAGACATTGTAAACATTCTGTCTCTGACATAAATTTGGATTCTACCACTTGGCATCTATAAGATGATCTTTTAAGAAGATGTTATAAGGTCATTTTATTCTTGTAGATGCATATCGGCTATCACCTTAAAAGATCATTCTTATAGATTTATATGATCCTTAAACATTGTTATGACACTTATAGAACATGGGAAAAAGCAGGTGGAACATGGTGGTAAATTCTATGACAATATGGTCCATTTAGAATTTATTATCTGGCTATCAGAGATTTCTTTATGTTCTTTACTCACATGAAGAAAGTCAAGCTTTGAACTAATTATGCTGAATTGCAGACTGTAGTATATGTGAGAGTGTTACAGTAATTTATACTTTTGCTAGCATACAGTCTAGCGGAATAAGTGAAACATCAGAGGTGGTTGTGGGAAAGGATCTTTACTGTCGGACATTATTTACATTTCATCTAAACAAATGTGCAAGCATTACCAATAGCAGATACAGTATCAATAGTAACAGATGTAGCTGATCTATTATAATCTATATTTAAATGTTAAGTGTAAAAGTGTCTTTTCACACCAACACTAAGCTTGTTGTTTAGACAGTTACTGGACTGACAACAGACATTACCTTAGAACT